GCACGAGCTGGTGAACAGTGATGGACACAGGGGGCTGTGGGAGCCGGTTCACAGAGAACCTGACTCTTCTGCAGCAGCTCATCTCTGCTCGACTGCACATCTCCTGTCTGTCTGTCTGTCTGTCTGTCTGTCTGTCTCTCTCTCTTACTTATTTATTTTTACAGAGAGGGGAAGGGAGGGAGGAAGAAAGGGAGAAAAACATCAATGTGTGAGAAATACATCGATCTGTTGCCTCTCCAACGCCCCCACCCACCCCCACCACCCCCCACACGGAGGACCTGGCCTGAAACCCAGGCATGTACCCTGACCGGGAATCGAACCAGCAACCTTTTGGTCCGTGGAGCAACACCCAAATCACTGAGCCACACCAGTCAGGGCCGCACCTTTTCTCTTAAAACAAAGAAGCTGAAAGAAGGGCAGGCACTACAGAAACTCAACAACCACCTGGTACTCCTGTGTTCTGTCTGCCGGTGTGGACAGCAGCCGTCAAGGGTTCGAGACTTGTGCGGAGGGCTTCACAAGCACTTTCGGGTTCAGTGCTCACAGCCACTCTCAGGGGGAGGCACTCACTTTACAAACAAAGAAATCAAGGCTCAGAGAGGAAAACAACTCACCTGAAGTCTCAGAGAGACATAGAAACCCGGGTGGGACTCCGAACTTGGTGGTCTTCACGATTCTGATTCACCTACAGAGGGAAGGGGTGGGAGTGGGCCTGGAACACACTGGCCCAGACTCACCCTCCCCAGAAGGGCCTGCTTCACTTGGACAATTGTCACGAAGCTCCTCGGACCTCTGACCCCAGCCCGTGAAGGGACAAAGACGTGGGTGTTACTGCGTCGGAAGAGCACCCCACAGTTTGCGGTTCATTTACTTGCTTATCATGTACTTCTGAGGAGGGACAGAATGCTCGCCTCATGACGTAGGTAGGGAAACTGAGGCCAAGCAGGGACAACGACTCGCTCAACGTCACACAGCAAGTCAGTGAAGGAACAAAGGCTCAAAATTAACTTCAACAAAGCTCCTAACCCTCGGACTCTCAGATAACAACCACACGCTCTGGACAAAGTTCAGGGCTCGGGAGAAGGAGTGAGCAGGAGATTTTGAGGGGAGTCAGAATGTGTATGAAATGATGGGCAAAGAGTGAGGCTCTGTTATTACAGTGTGGCCAAAAGTCTGATGAAACGCCACCCCCATCTTTCTGGCCTGAAGAACCAGAGCCCAGAGCCCCAGGGCAGACTGCTGGGGAGGGCGGGACAGGTGAAGCTCAGGGAGAGAGACAAGGGGCGGATCCCGACACATCATTTCAACATTCATCAGAGCTGAGGCTCTGGCCTGGACCAACATGAAGAGAATTCAGAAAGGACTCAGCAATAGACTTGTGAATTTCACTCTTAAGGTGGAGAGAACTTGGTGAGGGGTGCAACTCCGGTTTGGGGACCACAGCTCTCCTGTCAGCCCATCAGCTGTCTGTTCCCAGGGCCATGTTTCTGTGGCCTCTGAGCTTCCAGGCCCCCGGGCATCTGTGGCTTCCACGGCAGCAGGAATCTTCCTGGTTTCACCTCCTTCCTCACAGCAATGGGGCAGCCCTTTGATGCCTGATGGTCTCTGTCTCCCCTCGTCTCATTCCATGCCTGCACGGAGGTCGCCTTGCCTCTCGCCTCACCTCTCGCCTCAAGTTGATCCTGCTCCTTCTCAAGCTTGGGTCAGGTTCCCCCTGTTTTGTTTGGGCTCCTTCCTTCCTTGTCATTGATTTTTACTTTGGGGTTGAGACCTCGGTTTCCAAAGAGATGCTTCTGGGCTCCATCTGCTGGCTGACCCTATGGAGAGAGAAGAAACTCTAGGAGACCATTCTGTGTGGCATGGGCCCAGCTCCCACTTGAGGTGCACAGGACCCACGCCCACAGATAGGTTCTCCCATGGGGAATCAGGCCTGCAATGTGCCTAGGCCACTTTGAGTCTTGCTCTTGCTAAAAACTCCCTCACCCTGAATTGAGGACATTTACTGCAAAGTAACTCCCTAAAATCCATGCTAAACCTTCCAAGGATGAGTGTAACCAGTTCAACCACTTTTGCCTTTTCATTTGCAAATATCCCTCTTCTGGGATGTGATTAGCAGCATTGGCTCCTTTGTTTTCTGTAAGAGGTAACCACCTAGAGTGAACCTGTGCATAGTAAATGAGGCCCATCATGCAATGTGCTGAGAAACCCAATAAAGGCTGGTCATGGCAAGGGCCAAGGCTTTTGCTCCCCTGGAGAGAAAAGCCATGCTGTCCCTCTTCCTCCACCAGACTTGGTAGTCCATGTGAATGTCTCATTTCATCCATAATGACTCAGACATTACGGTCCAGTGTCTGCATCAGAAACCAAGAAGTTTGCGATCTGCCAGAGGCTTCTCCTGGGGAAAGAAGTCCAGCCCCACTCACTTCCTAGAGTGGAGTGACTCCATCCAGGAGGTCTTTTCCCACCAACCTGACATTTAACTGACCTGAGCACCACCCCCAGCTCCCATCCCTGTGCCCCTTGGGTGTGTCCCATCAACTTTTACCTCTTTCCCTCCGAGTCCCATCCCACTATCCTCCTGCACACACTTCTCAAGGTCCAGGCTAGTCTTACCTCCCCAGCTGCATCTTTGTCACCATGAACCACACACATTTACTTCTGGAATATTTTATTCTGATCTCCCTACTCAGATCTGCTCTGAGCTTAACCTTCCCTCTGTGGTTCTTATCTACAGCCTTGAGAAAGTGCCTTTTGATCACTTCCTCCATCCCTGCTCCCTTAGTGGAGTTAAATGTCCCCTTCATCCTCTCTGAGTCCTGCCCCCTCCAAGATCTAACAGTGAACACCCCACTGGCAGCAATGGTCAATGGTGGTTGTAGTCTCTACTGCACCTCGTTGTTTCATGCCTACAAGTGCAAAATATTGAGAAAGGAACCTGCTGGAGCATGAGAAACACAGACACCAGGCTGAGGCCCTCTGCCACACCACAGAGCTCCCAGATGAAGTGGGTAGAGAGGATGCGAGGGTGTCTCCAGCTGCAGAAGTGGTGAGCGCACTTGCCATTGTAGGTGGGGTCGTTGGATCCGGAACAGGTGAAGGAAGGTCGTTTATATTTGTCTGAGAACAGTGCACGTGTGTGTGATAGTCAAGGGGTCACTGTCCGTAGTAAACACAAGATCACGTAGGTTCTTGACCTGAGACTTTCCCTCCAGGGTTCCTGTCCCTACTCCCCATTCTTCTTCCTCATCCCTTTCAGATGGCCGTGAGTCTGAGAGATGGCTGTCGAATAGCCCACCTTATCACCTGTCCTGATGACCTCTTTGCTGAGATGGCCTGTTACTGGGCTTCAGATCCTGAGGAGAGGAGAAGCCCAAGTTCCAGCAGCCGGTTCAGTGGCTCCCAGAGTCCCCTGCGGCCCTGGGGGCCTAGGTGTGAGTGTCCTCTCACAGCCCCACAGCATCCAGGGGCAGGGGCCAGGCTGGCTCCCTGGGAGCTGGGCACAGACGCTCCCCCATCACGTCCCACCTGCAAAGCCCCTTTGTCTTCCAGATCACCGTGCCTTGGGAATGCTGTGGGATCTCAACTCATCAAACCAAACACCATAATATCGAATATTTTCTAGATATCACTTTTATTAGGTTGAAGTAAAAAGGGTTTTGTAAATTTGGGGCCAAAAATTTATTATAAAGGTTTTTAAAATTCATTTTTTAAATTTTAATCATTGTTCAAGTACAGTTTCCTCTCTTTTTCTCCCATTCCAGCCCACCCACCCAACCCTCCCCACTTCCCTCCCATTACCACCCTCCCCCTAGTTTTTGTCCATGTGTCCTTTAGGTTTGTTCCTGTAAACCCTTCACATTCTCCCCTGAAATTCCCTCTTCTCTCCCCTCTGGTCACTGTCAGCTTATCCTCTATTTCAGTGTCTTTGGTTATATTTTGCTTGTTTCTTTGTTTTGTTATTTAGGTTCCTGTTAAAGGTGAGATCATATGGTATTTGTCTTTCACTGCCTGGCTTGTTTCACTTAGCATAATGCTTTCCAGCTCCATCCATGCTGTTGCAAAGGGTAGGAGCTCCTTCTTTCTTTATGCTGCGTAGAATTCCATTGTGTAAATGTACCATAGGTTTTTTGATCCATTCATTTACTGATGGGCATCTAGGTTGCTTCCAGCACCTAGCTATTGTAAATTGTGCTGCTATGAACATCGGGTGCAAAGGTTCTTTTGTATTGGTGTAAAATTCATTTTTAAAGAGAGGGGGAGGGAGGGAGAAAGAGAGGGAAAGAAACATCAGCGTGATCGGTGGCCTCTTGTGCTCACCCCGATCAGGGACCAAACCTGCAACCCAGGCACGAACCCTGGCTTGAAATCTAACCAGTGACCTTACCCTTTGTGGGATGATGCCCAACAAATGGAGCCCCACCAGCCAGCACAAGAACTTTTAAAAACATAGTTGCTTTCGTCTAAGGGTGCATTCTTACAAAATAAATAAACAGTTAAAACAATTTTTTTTCAAAAGATTTTATTTATTTATTTTTAGAGAGAGGAGAAGAGAGGGAGAGAAACATCAATGTGTGGCTGCCTCTTGCATGCCCCCAAATGGGGTCCTGGCCCACAACTCCAGCATGTGCCCAGACTGGGAATCGAACCTGTGACCCTTTGGTTTGCATGCCCATGCTCAATCCACTGAGCCACACCAGCCAGGGCCAGCTTTTAAAATTGTTTAAACACTTGAAAGAGCCATCTTAGTGCCAACTGGTTTTTATTTTTTGACTTAATGAAGGTAATGTAGGTGATTCATCTTTAAAATTTTTAAAATATTTATCACTGGTCTTGGGAATGTTTAGTCTTTAAGCTGCAGTACTTTTTTTTTTTTTGAAAAGAAGAACAGCATAAAAAGATACCTGTTTTGTACAGGAAAAGGCAGTATTGGAGGGAGGAGACTTAAAAGCTAGAGGGAAAAAGACATTTTAAAAAATGCTTATTAAAAACAGAAACCGCCCTTTTGTGGAAAATTGTTCCTTTTTTAGTTTTTAATGAAAAAGAGTTCTGCTTTTTTATTTTTGAGGAAATAGGGGTTGAGTTCATAGAAACATCCTGAATTGGGCAGACATTAGCTTTTCCTTGAGCCAGAAGCGAGTCTGGGGCAGGTCAGCAGTAAGAACGGCGACTGCGTGTATTTCTCCTCTCGGGACAAGGTGGTCTGACTCTCTCAGGAAGTGAGGTCGTGTTTCTGAGTCTGAGAATCCCTCTGCTCTCACCTAGAACAGCGCTGCCATGGGGTGGGGGCTCCAGTTGAGGTGGTTAAAAAAGTAACCTGGTCAATTTTTTGCTTGTCTTCAAGGCTGGTTTAAGTAAAAACTGGTATTTTAAAGTGCTTTCAAAATGAAGAATTTTTTAAAATTAAAAACTGGAAGAAGAAAAAAAAATGGAAAGAAGAAGAAAAAGAAGAAAAAGAGCAGCCATCCTGGCAAACTGGGCCAAGACTGAGGATCGGCTGTGGAGAGCAGCGCCCAGGCCCTGGTGCCTGCACTCTTGCTCTCCCTCCTTGAACTTCACCTGCAGCGCCTGCAGCTGCGCCTCCACTCTCTTCCACCTGTGCTCTGAGTCCCCTTTTTCCTGCAGCAGAACCTTTACCTCCTTGGCCAGCTCCCCTCGCTCATGCTCCAGGGTCTGCTTGGCCTTCTCAAGGTTGCCTTTCACCTGGCGGGGGAGGAAGCAGAGCTGTGAAGAGGGGCATCTGGGCCCTGCCATGAAGCTGCTCTTGCCAGTGTCCCAGGAAGGACCCCAGGGTTCAGATCCAGACACTGCCACCTCTGCAGATGAAAGGGATGTTGGGCAAGTTTGGGAGGTGGCCTGCTAGCAAGTGTCCTGGTCTCAGAAGGCTCCCACCTGACCTGTCCTTATCACTCTACTGAAAAATGACACCCAGTATGTGTCCTCCTCTCTGAGGGCCTCAGAGTGGACGAGAACGTGCCTGGATGTCTGGCCACAGAACTCACTGGCTATAACCTCACACTGCGGAAGGCCTCCTGGAACATAGGGACCGCTTCCATGTGTGCCTCACGTGTGACAGGCAAAGGGGCCTCCCAGGGCACAAGCACCTGGGAGAGACGCCCACCTGTCCAAGCCCCATTGCACAGCAGGGAGGTGGTGGTGACACACAGTCTCCTTCACCCCAGGGAGCCCTGCTACTCAGTGAAGCCCTCAGGGGACTTCTGTCACAGAGAGCCACCCCCACTCCTCCCTGGAGGTCCCCTGGCTTGTTTCCAGCCCTGCCCAAGGCTGGCCCAGGGGAGGCCCTGAGCTGCCCCTGCTGGCCAGTGGGCAGCGACCCTGAGTGCCCCTTGGCCCCAGACTACCTCCTGCAGGTGAATCATCTCAGCCTCCATGCTCTTTAGCTTTTTCTCATTCTCCTTGGCCAGCTCTAGCACCTCCTCATGGGAAGTGCACCTGTCCTCCATCTCTCGAAAGTAGTCCTTCCCCCAGACCTGGGGGTGGGGAGGAGATGCTTGACACCCCCATCCCAGTGGCCACCCACCTGCCCCTGCCCCACTATGTGCCCTCCCACTGCCTCCAGGCCCCTTCAGGTCCACCTCCAGCTTCTTCTGAGCAGCCACTGCTATTGATCGCTGCTTCCAGCTCAATGTCCTGCCACCCAAGGGGACCCGAGTCAGGAGCAGAGGGACAAGAGGTCCACAAGGTCCCTGCCTCAGTGTCCGGTCACCTACTAGTCCTGTTTACTGTCCCCCTTGGCCCCTCCCGGTACTCACCCCCTTGTCCACATCGTCCATGGAGCTCATGAGGTACTCCCTCTGAAGGTGGAGCTGCTTGCTAAGAAGCTCTGCTCGTTGAGGAGGCTCCAGCTCTGCCTCCTGCAGAGTCTTGTAAGCCTGGGTGAGTTTCTTCAATTCACTCTCCAGCTCCCGGGCCTGCCGCCTCAACTCTTCAGCCAACTGTGCCTTTGCCCCCTCATCTAAGTGCTTTGCCTCTCGGGCAAGTTTCATCACATCTGCCAGAAATGAGGGAACTGCATTTATTCCCACAGACCTCTTGGTTTCTGTCTTCACTGCCAGAACTGCGCCTCTAAAAGCTGCCTGCAGCTCCTTGCTGCTTTCATCTGAGATATTTCCAGTGCTCATGAATGCCTCAGCTTTGGCTACTAAGCTACAGTTGGCTTTGGCCCACTTATAGGCATTCATATTCTCCACCATGTTTTGCAGGGATTTAAAGCAAGATTTTGCTAAGTACTCCATTTCAGACTTTCTCTGATCTTTGTTCTCCTGGACCATGTACTGTTTGTTGATGTCAGTTGGCACTAGCCTTCTGGCTTTGTCTCTTGCTGACTGGTTCTCTACATCTTCTGCGATGCTGGTGGATATTCTGGTCACAGCTGCTGCTGCCCTCAGTCCCGCCCCAGTTGCCCTAAACACCAGACTGGCCCCTCCTGTCACAGGTGCTAGGGACAGGCCAACGATGGTCAGAATGCCAGACACAGTGCTGGTGGACCTGGACACCACATTGGAGATGGTACAGCGCCTGTGCACCTTGTCCACCTTGTCAGCCAGTGCATAGAGCTGCGCTATGCGCTCCTCGAGCTCCTGTTTTTGCTGAGAAAACTCCTTCAGAGTCACCTTTTTACACTGGTGGTTTATGTCCTCTGTGGCCATGAGTCTTTTTGGCTGGAGCATCTGCCTTATCCCTGCAATAATGAAGGTCAAGTGATTAAGAAAGGCAGTTTTGTTATCTGTAAAATGGGCAAGATCCATCTTGCATAATTCCAAAGTTTTGACTATAAACCAAATGGAAAAGAATTTTACAAATGTAAAGATTTTTTTCATTCAACATTAAACACATACTTTGTCCCTTGTACGTGCTCCACAGCCCTGGTTTGATCAGGGATAAATACGGGAAAGTCCTCCTACAATGCCCTGAAGTGGTCAG